GGAAAGAATTATGCAGCTTTAGTCCTTGGATGACTGAGGCAACCTAGAATATCCTTGTCTTCTGATACAAACTAATGAAAACAAAAAGAATTTTATTGATGGAATAGCGAACTAGGAAAGCCTAGAACTTTTTTATTTTTTACCGCTCTACCACATAATTACTGAGCAACGTCTGAAAACTGGCTTAGGCCAAGATTTTCACAAGTATCCACTACTCAGACACTTCATGATCAACAACTTATGTCCATCTATTAGCAGCCATGAATACATTCAACTGAAATAGAAGCCCTGAATCCTCCTCACTTACAAAAGAGTAAGGATTCACATTCCAGATCTCTTCTGTAAAACAAGCTGTTTCATTTCTAATTTCTCTTCTGTTCAAAAAAAAAAGCTTCAAAAAAACCAAATCAAAAGTAGAGAAAAGCTGTATCAACAGACTGGCAATATAAGACATGGGAGCAAAATCGACAACCCTTTTGAAGGGAAGCAATACATCAATAAGGATAAAAATAAAGTTGATACCCTAGTCTAACACGCTTGCAGAAGCACTTCACTATCCTATCACACGAAAGAAAGATAGCAGGCTTGCCACTTTCTTCTTAACCTGGGCTATGAAGCTACATATTTTTTGATGAATGGTAAGATGACATTCTTGATTGCTTTTTGTGTACTTGCGCAAGGCTTTGAAAACTAACAAAGCGAGCTGAAGATCAAGCGACATTTCAAAAGGAACTACGACTGCCCCTCTTTGAGCACATGTGAGAGCAAAACGCGAAAACGTCTCCCTCCCTGCGGTCTGAGATCTACCCTCAGGCCCTACAGATGAACTGGTCTGTCAGTCCAAAGCCACGACAGGGACGAAAAAGGACAGAGAGCAGCAAACTCCTTGTGCCATCACAACGATACAGGCTGACATAATACACACCGATGCCTACATGTTTCTTGACTGTACCCTTTAGCGTTTCCTTAATACACGCTTAGGATCAAAAGCTGCAAGACCATAAATACGTTCAGGTCCTGGCCAGGCTGGGCTGCTGTCACTCCGCCGCTGTCACCAGCTCTGGGGCACAAGCAAA